TCCTATTGATTGCAATTCAGGACAAAGTAGTCACCAAATCAACAGCCACATACTAAATAATAGAGTCAATGCTGATCTGTTTCAGAAGACACCACATTTAGCAAAGCAGCTTCAATTAGGGTACCACCTGGTTAAGTTTATGGTAGTCCCTTATCTGTTGTCATGAGCCACCTGCTTTTTGTAGAGTTCAGGAAGGAAACAAAACAAGGAGCACCACTGCTACATCCTTCACACCTTTGATAGTGGTACTAATTTCCACAATTCATTCCAAAGGCAGTATTATTTATGATTTATTATCATGGCTGTGTGGCAGGTGTTAGGACAATTTTAGGGGCTTCCTCGATGCTTTCTATCATAATGGGTCTTACTTTATAGATCAGGAAACCAATGTTAGGGTTCTGCCAGTTTCTACGTATAGTATATACAATTATGCCCTCTTGGGCTGAGGAAATAATCATAGAATGGATCCTTACACCCACTGGATCCATATAATGCCATTTATCATGTGGTTTCTGTAAGTCTTGACCATAATCAGACCATAATAACATTTCAGGTATCCTGGTATCAGTGTCCACACAAACCTCATACTTGAGAATCCACTAGAGGTTTAGTATCCTCTTTCCCCAGGGACAAGTACTTTTGGGGAATAATCAAAGAAATGTTTTTCCATATATACTTTTGGCAAAATTGTAGTCCTTTTATTCATTTTTTAAAGGTTTTATTTATTTATTTGACTGAGAGAGACACAGCAAGAGAGGGAAAACAAGCCGGGGGTTGTGGGAGAGGGAGAAGCAGGCTTCCCACCGAGCAGGGAGGCTGATGCAGGGCTCAATCCCAGGACCCTGGGATCATGACCTGAGCTGAAGGAAGACGCTTAACGACTGAACCACCCAGGTACCCCTGTAGAGTCTTGTTAAAAGAAACCCACTTTTCCCTTCAGTCAATGAGTTGTGAGTCAGAGAATTAATATAGATCTGGAAATGGAATAAAGAGCCACAATTTTCCATTGTGGTGATGGGTGTCGGCCTTGTACTCAACAATTTCAGGATTATTATTATTACTATTATTATAAAAAATGTGCAATATTCTAGTCACTATCCATGTGTCTTACCCCAAGGACACCACCATGATCTATTACTCATTACCATAGACTTCTTGTGGGTGAAGGCACCGTGACTGTCACTCTGCTTTTGCTGTCCATTACGGTAAATACATATTCTCTACATCTGACAGTAAAGGATTGCCACTTGAACTATTTTGTTTTAGAATCTTATCACTTCCATTGATATTAGGGAGCCCAGGGCTATGGCAGCATTCTCCAACCAATATGCCTAGCCTGCAGAGGACAACCATCACTAGATGTCTCAAAATTCTGGTACCCTCCATCCAAGTACATTCTTTATTGCCTAAGTGAAGATAGTGTCCCCTGCCCCATCTCCAGGGTACACAATAATGTGATGGATTCTCAGATACTACACAATAATACAGAAATCATTCTCATTTTTCTGAGTTTTCTGATTCTTTTCTTCATATCATGCCAAGAAAGTTCCAGAATGTTAACTCTGTTTAATGGGTAGCCATTATAAGATTCAGGAACCATCTTACTTACAAGATTCAAAGAAACATCCCAACAAATTATCACAGCCAGCTCCAGGTATCCTTGCAGAACATCGAATTCCAAGTCAAAGGTGAATCTCATGACAATGAATTTTCCCCATCCAACTTTTATGTTATTTCTTCTACCCCTACAGGTGTAACACCCAGATGACCACAACTTTTCAAGAAAACACAGCTGGTTTGTTCAGTTGCACAGGATATTTGCCATATGAAACCACAGCATCTTAAGAAATCCACCCAGGGGAGAATGAGCCAGAAATTTGTTTACCATTTCCTATCTCTCATTGGTTAAAGTTTAGTCCATGGTGAATTAAGTCTCTCTCATTTCTAGATTGTGTTATTTCCTCCTCTGAGAGCTTTTGGGATGGGAAGCCAGAGTTTCAGTGGGTATAGAGAATTCACTGGGATCCACTTCCCCATCCCTCACCCTCAATCCCTCCTTGTATATATCAGCTATAGACATGATTTTGTTTATCTGCCTAAATGGGGGCAGTAGTGATGGAGAGTGAGAACATACATCATCTTGCTAGATAACTGTTTTATGTAAAAACATTGCATCCTACAGACACTGTGAGGCCATTCTCCTCTGGAAAGAGAAAGGGGACTTTTTCTGATGGCCAGTGAGAGTCAGGGGATTGTAAGGGTTCAAGTTTCTTCAGCTTATCCACTTAAATTTTAATCTCATTGTCTTACCCTTTCCTGTTCAGAACTCTGACTTTGACATGGAAGATGTGACAGATGCTTATCTTGTTTCCTTTGCAGCTGTGTGTCACATTTATAATCAGATCCTAAGCTTGATTTTTTTTGTTTTGTTTTGTTTTTTAGTTTTCTTTAGGGCTGCTATAGAAGTCTTCTGATATTCACAGTATACCTTATGTAAATAATTATTTCATCTATATATATATATACATATATATATATATATCATGTTCTTTTTGCAAACCCTCCAATCCCATTAAAAGCATCTACCTCATGCCACAATTCTTATATTATTTTTCTGTTATTCTAATCAAGTGCAGTAGCCATTTCATTTCCAGTGACTTGCCTTTATCTGCACCTCATCTTAATTCATCACCAATGGAAACTTTAGTAATTGTGAGGTCATGCACACCAGAGATGATTGCCACTCCCCACATCAGCAGTAAATAGCAGGTCCCTATTACTCTCTGCTAGTCAGGCAATCTAACATCCTGAGGGTCTTCTTTCTATGGCCTCTCTTGATATCAGGGCTCTAAAGAAATCTTTAGCCTGGGTTTCCTAGAAGATAGAACCAAAGGCAAGTTTACTTGTTTAACTTTTGGGGGGGTTAGGAGTATTATCCCAGGGAAGCAAGAGTAAGGGGAAAATGGAATGAAGCACAGAAGGAGGACAATCATTACAAGGTAGTACATTACCCAGCTGACCACAGCCTTATAAAAACACAACCAGTTTGGTTAATCATGCAGGATGTTTGCTACATGGAGCCACTATATCATCAAATAGTCCACAGATTGGGGACCACATCTCTAAATAGTCTACAGTGATCTTCAGCTCCTTTTCATCTTTTGTCTAACACCTTCCTTACGTGGGTTGTGTTAGTAGTCCCTCCAGGCACCGACATGGGTGGAAAGCCAGAGCTGTTTAGCGGGTCCAGTTGGGTTGAACCTGCACACTGGAGTTCCAGGCATGGAAAACAACAGAATCCTTGCCACAGCTTGGCCCTTACTCTGGCCAAGAATCAGGGCACTGGTTGAGTCCAGAGGCAGACAGGGCTGAGCAGATCTGGGAGGTACAGAAACTGGCCCAGTACAGTACTGAGCACTTTTACTACCCTATAGAAAAGAGTAGGTTTTACAAAAGTAGGTCAGCACTTCAAAACATTCATCAGGGTCCCAGACAGATTCTGTCCCTCCATTCTGCCACAAAGGCTGCCTTTCCTCCACTCAAGCTTGGTTCTCCTCATAGTAAGGAGATATGTTTCCTTACGTGCATGAAATGGAAGACAGAAAAATTCCTCCCCACTCTTCAAATTTTGGGAGATAAGAAAATAATATATTCCATTAATGGAGAAATATTTCTAGTTCAGTATTGTACAAAAAACCGTATACGTAAAAATTTGTAATAGTACTTAGACTAATTTCATAAAGTAATACTCCTATATTTTTAAACGTTGCACTAGGGAGTCAGAAGAAATAAGTGTATGGTGAGGAAAAACAAAGTTCACAGCTTTTCAACCTTGTCATTCTCCAGTAACACTGGCAAGTCTGTGTGCTTCTAGACCTCTAGAAGTGCAATATCACAAGCTATTTCATGAATCCCACTCACACTCCAAAATAATTCACTGACTTCCTTCCCACAGAAATAACTAGGACCTTCATTTGGAAACTCTAAATACCCAAACATCTAAAAAACAAGTTAGATATGAAAAGTATGATTAACCTTTACATTTATTAAAAGGAGCTCTAACTCTCTAATATGCAGTAAACTCAAGAGGAGAAATAAGAGTAGTTTTCAAGTGGCATTGATAATCTAGAATTGAAATCTCAGCATCCCTGGGTTTACCCCCAAAATGTCAATCAATCAGCCTCCTGACCTTTGACAAATCAGTCACCCTTCCAAGTCTGTTTTTTTCATCTATTAATTGGCTAACTTAGATGATCAGGAAAAATTCATTTGTAACAAAAGAAAATGTTGCCTAATTTAAAATGTTGAAGATACTGAGTTTGTTTATTCGCATCTGAAATCTGGAAATCTCAAAGCTCAATACTGTTTAGATGTTATACTGATCCTTCAAATAAACACTGATGTCAAGAAAGAAAATAAATTTAATACCCCCAAAAAATAACGCCAATGGTTGTATTTTGTCTTTGTTTTGTTTTTGTACATATTGAAAGTGAGGGATGAAATTAACTGTAATTTCAAACTTTTCCTCCAAGAGAGAAGAAAGATATTTTAGTGGTAAAAATAAATTCTGAATGCTTAGAGCCTGCTTTGTGCACTAATAAAAAATCAAATGAAAAAAAAGCAATTTGATTAAATTATGTGTGCCTTTTCCTATGCCAATGGAGCTTAACTAAGCAAACAGAAGCAGTGAAGTAAATCAATGTTGGTTTATTAAAGATCAGAATTCAATATTGCAATGGTTGAGGGGCTTATGCACCAGAGTGCTCACTGTTTAGCTTTTCTGTGCTGAGAAAGTAAACATGGCAGCACCAAGGAGAGACTTGTTGAGAGAATGACACTGACAAGCCAGGTTTCTCAAGGAGCTTACCTTGTAGCTCTCAGCAGATATTTTGTAAATAGTATATAAATTTTATCCTAGTGTTTCACATGTTTCAACTTCTCTTCAGAAGTATTTATTTTAACATTTTTTGCAATTATTATTTCTTAGATATTTGTATTTTTTACCAGGGAAAGCACTTCCATCTCTCAATTAAGAAATGAAAGCTGAAATGCCTTCACTGGTTCTCGTATGACTCACCAAATATTTGTGAAGAAATCAGAGATTAATTTCTTAATTCGGATCCATCATACAATGAAGTCATAAATAATAGCAAATTTGTAACATCACATTAATCTCCATGGCAACAGGCTTACTGTGCAAACAGAGGATTATGACTTCACAAGAGAATCAAACAGAGAGTGGGTTGTAAGGAAGAAAGCTCATTTTCAAACTCATATAATCTACAGTAATTGTACTGGGAATACAGGTAAAGCCTAGCAAAGCAAATTGCTTTTCATAGAAATATTTTGTTTTTTTCAAGTTTGTTCCATGATGAAAATCTTTCTCTAAATTGCATGGAGTGTGTGACATAAGGCACTTTTAATACATAGCCAATGTGCGATGAGCAATCTGAGATATAAAGGTTTGAACTGGGACTGACGGCATCGAGAGAGAAACACTAGGCATCCAGAACAGCACTATGTATGACTGAAGAAACACAAAACACAGAATTGCTATTGATGTGTTTACTATCCAACCATCTAACATTTATAAAGGAATCAGATTCTTCATCTTTCCTTTCCTATTTTAGTTTCTCTCAAACACAATTTATAAAAATTATACTTTCCTTTTTTGGATTCATTCCCATTTTGGAGAGGTTGCAATACTCTTATACCTAACCGCCATCCTTGGGGATTATTCATATGCAAATTCTTTTATAAGATTTTCTCCAACTATTCTTTTTCTCCAACTGGTATTCTTTCCTGTAATCTCCTTTCCTCTGTAAAAGAAAATGCCTACTCACAGCAAGCCTAGGACTTTTACAGAACTCTATACCCAGGGAATGGTGCTGAGTTTTTTTCTGAGAAAAAAATAATTAATAAAGCCACACCTCAACAAACTAGGCCAATGGATTATCCAGTGGTTTTTGTTGTCATTGACTTATGTTGTGTTCTATATTAATTTGCTTTTCCAGTTAAGTGGAAATATCTTTAAGAAAACAAACTAAATGAACTAAAATTGTCCATCAGTTGTACTCAGGAAAAGGAAGGGTTAAAATAATAATTTAACCATAGGCGAAAAGATTGCAAACTCTTCCAAGTCTTCTAATATTTACATTGACACGGGGACCTCAGTGAAGTGTTTCTGGAAAGCAGCCGCTGTTGAAACAGTCAAGACTTTTTTGTGGGCCAGTATTTTCATGGACTGTCCCACTAATTTCCCATCTGCCTGTGCAGAAGGCCAAAGATGACATACAACTTATGATTAAGGATAAGTCAGTGTGAAAACTACTTGTGAGTTGTCAAAGAGCAGACCTCATTACCCACAACTGGTTCAATTAAATATTTGACACAAGAAAATGATCTGACCAAATCCTCAGAAAATATTATACCAGGTTGAATGACTTGAGCCTTTAACATGTTTGAAGTCAAATAGAATTCCAGGTTTCTGAAGCTTTTGTAATTAGATGGACACTGACTGGTAATGGCAGGGTGTATATTGTATTTTCTTTCCAACATCTAGCTGATACTACACTTTCAAAAGAGATGTGTCATCAAATCTTTCCTCTTCCACCTTTTCAACTGCCTGCAAGATGCACCCAAGTGGACAAAAACAGCTGCTTGATTAATTTGGTGCCAATGTCATGTCTTGAGTCAAGATCAAAGTGGGAATATGGATTTTGTGGTGTTTTAATAAACACCAGAACAAGTGAGACTACAATTCTTCACAGACCCTCCTTGGGCAACCTCTGGAAAGTCTTTATTTACTTAGTTATTTACTCAAATCTTCCTGGCCTTTCCCTAAAGCTTAGGCTTTAATTGTCTTAACTCCTCTCTTCTCATCCACATTGACTTTGCTTATCTTTTCCAATGTGGATTAAAATAATTGCCTAAGGTGGGCACCTGGGGGGCTCAGTCAGTGAAGTGTCCAACTCTTGACTTCAGCTCAGGTCATCATCTCAGGATTGTGAGATCGAGTCCCACATTTGGCTCCACACCCAGGTTCTCTCTCTCCCTCTCCCTCTGCCCCCCTACCGCACATGCATGCTCTCTCCCTCTTTCAAAAAAAAAAAAAATAATAATAATAATAATTGCCTAGGAAAAAAATTCTAATCAGGACCCAGATTAGAAATATATTTATAAATAAACAGTAATAATGCTGCATGCACAATATCAAGGAACTTGGGTAACATAAGTAAATACTTATAATAAAATGAGTCCCTTTTAGTCAATACTCTGCATGATAAATTCCACTATTATTAGTAGTGGACTTACTCATAATAGAAAAAATAATTGTAACAATTGCCCTTTTTGAGCACTTGTCTATCATGACCAGTTTCTGTGCTATCTGCTAATGTATTATCTCATGTAATTCTCACTCCAACCTTAAAGAGTTGGTATTATGAATTATGTTTCATAGATGAAGAAATTCATGCCTAATAGGTTAATAATATCCTCAAGTTCACAGAGTTAGTGGGTGATAGAATAGGGATTATTAACTAGTCTGTCTGTAATACTTTCTTTACTTTTCAGTGACATCTGTTTATAAAGTTTCTGCAACACAGTGCCAAGCCAGACAATTAAATCTGCAAAAGACAGCAACTCCGCTAGATGGGATCTGAAAAGATCCGAAACTCTGAGGTTGCGAGATACATATATGTGTATATAACACACAACACACACACACACACACACACATCACATAATGTGTCATATTTACATGTGTGTATGTGAAACATATACATACACACATATACAAATAACATGCCATGGGATATATCGTATGTATGTACGTATGTACGTATGTATGTGTATCTTAGCCTTCAAGTTTCATTTGGTTATATATCTATATGCATACATCAGCCAATAAATACTTCCCACCTCAAAGGCAAAGAGGTATGATGGCCTTTCCCCAATCCTGTATTCCCTATTGCTTCAGCGGCCTTTCTGTGACTTCTTTTCTTATTCCATTCAGCCCTTATAGTTGCTGAGAAGAGGGAAAAAAGATAAACAGAAGGGCCAGATTTAAGAGTCTGTGGCTCTTCAAACTCTCACAGTGAAAATCCTTGGAGAGCCCTTGAAATATTTAGATACCTCAATGGCTCTTTAAAAAAACAAAAACAAATCAACACCTCAAATTTGAGAGCAGGCTTACAAGGTCAATGAAATGATTCCAAATGCTTCCACTTGCTAGATCAAAAATTTATTTATTTTAAAAGCTATCAAACTTCCTTTGATAGCTTTTAAAAAACTATTTTGGTCAATCAAATAACGCCTCCAAATAAATTTAAAGTTGTGACTTAAAGGTTAATATTTGTCATAGCAAGCATATTAATTTGAGTTAGGCCAAATTTATGACATAGTTGGTTACTTTATGTGCTATATGTACACTTTGTAGTTTATAAAGGTCCCCTGAATAATCAATGCGTAAGGTATATTTATGCTCCTTTTATGAGACTTGAAACATTTTACCACTTGAAATTACTACTTAGATTTATAATGAGAGTATCTTCATTTACAACATTTGCTGATGACACTTCTGAGTAATTAAGTGTGGGGACCTTGGTCAGGGATATAACCCCAGTTATACTGCTACTCTGTACTGGTTAGCTCGCTCATTGTAACAAAGGATCCATTTTAAGACAATGTGCTGTTTGACTCGTTTGCTCGGAACTTTTCCTGTTCAAATACCAGAAATGCCCTGGGTTACAAAGGGCAATAACTTTAAGTGAGGGTTAAACAAATAAGACCAAGCTCGTATCTGCTTTGTTTGTGAACAAAGCCTTTATTGTGAATAACAAAGTAAAACTGAAGCTGGTGGGGGGGCTGGGGGACAGTGGGAAGTAGAACAGAAGAACACTAACCTAGTGGAAAAGCTCTGACAAAGGTTGGCCTCTCAGAGCATTCAGTTTTCAGGTTGTTAGAGATTTTTTTTTTTTCCATCAGTATCATATTGGTTCTCAGGACAGAGAAAATACTAGAATAAAAAAAGGTTGCTTTTTCCAAACTGTATGAAGTGGGGTAGGCCAATAAAGCCTATGGAAGATCTGTTTTAAGGGTCCTTTTCCATCTGGCTTTGTCCATCTGGCTGCGCTCCTCAGCACAGCATCAGCGTACCTCTTGCCATCTGCAGTGTCACCAGAACAATATGATGTTACCGTTAATACTTTGTGCATGATTAATACTTTTGCACTATACTTTGTGCTAAATTTGCAATAAAAGTATTTTCAATTTCAATCTCAATAAAACCTTAATACTGGGTATGATTATACTCATTTTACAGATGACAAAATAGAGGCTGAGAAGCAGTCATTAGCTTGCAAAGATCCAGGTCCTGGCAGGCCGATTGTCCACCACACTGTCCTGCTTCCACAGCATCCACCAGCCCAGGAATCTTGCAGGCTTCATCTTGTACTTTCACTATAAACCACTGTTGATAAGGAGTGGTTGTAGCCCATGGAGGCTAGTTTTATAAGTATGCAAACAATATTCTGCCTGGGCTTGAAATGGTTACAACATCAAATCCCAAATGGGTACCTTGAATTGTTATGATGCAAAAGCTAACAATAGCTGTGCAGACAGGAGCCTCTTAGCTGAACCCAAAAAGGAAGTTTTATTCTTTCCAAGTGAATCCTGGGAGATTTTATAGCCCTCCCACCACCTTATGGTAAGAGAGGGAGTGAGAGAGCAAGGCGAGAGCAAGAGGAGGGAAAGAGAAGGGGCAGGGCAGGCATGCCAGGGTACCTAGGAATCATAGCCTATTTTGCAGTCTTTACATTAGAGAATGGCAAACCTCGTCATTTCCAGTTTTGCCCAAGGCTGTGCAATAATACAAAGGAACAAGGATAGCAAAATCTATAGATGCAATGACCAAAAATAATTAGAAACATGCTAAAGTCTCAGTAGTATGGATTTATTATTTCAAATTATTGCATATTCATACAAATAATCACAATGCAACCACTACCAGTAATATTACTAAAGAAGAGTTTTGATATGGGAAAATTCTAAGTAAAAGAAAGCAAGTTACAAAATAGTATGATTTCAACTTTTAATCCACACACACAAATAAATACCTGCACATACACAGAAAGGAAAGTACATACAGCAATGTGTTAAAAGAACTTTTTCCAGGGCAGGAAGATTATGGGTTTTTTGTTTGATCATCTGGCTCTTCTTGGTTTTCTAGTGTTTCAACTGAACATTTAATTTTTTTAAATTACTAAATAAAATATCCACCTAAAGACAAGTAGATTATAATGATCAGTGCTTTATATCTAAACTTTTATAATTATAAATAAATGCAAGATGTAGACCAATACAGGACATAAACCAAAAATAACAAATAATATAAGAAAAGGATAAAGAAGAAAAAATCTAAACAGATTAAAGGAAGGTATTTCTCTTAATGTAATCTAGTTTTTCCTTAAGAGTAGCGATGAATTAAATAACCAAGCCACTTTGCATATTATTTGTAGCTTCTTGTACAGTACATATTTGCTAAAATCAGGTATTTCATAAACCATATATCTATAATTCACTCCTGTGTGTGTTCACTCATTCTCAACTAACCATTTCTATTTTGTCACCATAATGTCCCAAGTGAAAGAGCCCTAATGATATTGTTAACTTGATCAGATGAAGTAAAGGGCAATTATCATCAAGAGTCTAGCATCACCAGTGGACCTACCTGGTAAGCAAGAGCCCTCATAAAAGGATGGGGCCTGAGTAATACCTGCTTTTCTACAGTAAGTTAAACTGTACCTTACACAGTTGTACCCAAACAGCTGAGACTTAAACAAACCACTGTTATTTATTTCTTAGCATGTGATGGGTATTGTGTTAGGTGCTAATGAGGGTACTGAAAGACTACATAAGGCTGTTTCAAGGACTTTCTTGACACACATACAAGATACACCTTAAAATTGTGTGTGGGGGTTTGCCATTTGTAATGTGTGGAATGATATATCCACCTTGACCTCTGCTCTGAATTATTGCAACCTTGTAAGCATTTGCAGTATTTAATTTCAACTCTTCAGTCTCTCCTTAGTTAGCAATAACAAAATGTTGTCCAAGGTTGCAACAGCTCCAGCCCGAGCCAGTCTTCACCGGCTGCCTGAAGTCTAGTCCATAGCTGACTTCACCACTCCCTGCTTGGTGTAACTGGAGGAGAATTTGCCTCAGGGGCCCAGACTAAGTCATAAATAAATGGCCAGGGACCATTTTGAGCAGAACACTTAATGTTCAGCAGGTATTATAAAACTAAAACAAAAGTGGGCTCACTTAGGTCAGGGACTGTAGACCTGCCAGCCCCCTCTCCGGCACAGCACCTAGCTCTGGTTTCCTTTTGTTGGCACCTGTCCTTATGCTATTGCTGTGTTCCGTTCAAGTCCAGGAAGCAGCTTGTTTCTTTACGTTCTGTGTATCAGTCTCTACAGTAGCATTAGGCCATCACACTCCTTAACCTAGGTTATTATAATCTCTTAATGAATAGTGTTTAAGAATGACTATTCCTGCCCCCATTGAAAATCATCTGATTTTTTTCACCAAAAATTGTGACAAAGAGGAGGAGAAGTAGGTGTGTTGGGAGCAAAGGAGTTTAAGAGAGTTAAGTACTCATCTTTCATAATAGAAACTCAATCTATAATTTCTAAAACTGAAGAATCAGGAACTAAAATTATAATTGTATTACTTAGAAACATGGTGGCAATACCAAGAGAAATGTCTAAAAGAATGGAAAGTAGTTGCCCTTGGAAGCAAGATTTAAGGTGAAGAATAAGAGGTCAAGGGAAAGATCTGCTATTTTTCATTATAAGTCTTACAACATTACTAATTTTATAAACACACTATATACATGGCTTACTTTGATAAAAAATAAAATTTAATTTTAAAAATTACTAGCTCATTCACCTATTCAAAGGCTAAATCGTCACAGTCAATTTCACCTTGCCTAAAACACTTTTATTAAATAAAATCTTACTATAAATACAGCTATCTGGTTTCATCTTGTGCTAAAACTAGTTCTGTCTCACAGTATGAAATCTTGAAACTGTCACACATACTCTAATATTATCCTTGGTTAACCATGTCTGTAATGCCAATTGCACACCCAATCAAACATCTAAAGTTACCAACTGGCTCCAGAGTTGGTACCCTGGTTACAAAACACTGGCCAGCTGCAGGAAACACAGAGGGAAAAAAAAAAAAGGTTATGCTTTGGCTACTGAGTACAATCCATGCTCAGTGTTAACGATACTATGTCAGTCCATAAATTATAATGGCTAACGCTAGAACATTAACACCACCCAAAAACACACTCGTAAGCAAGCCAGCATGGCAAAATGAGGTCATGGAGAAGCTTAAAGCTATTTTAGGATACATCTTGAACACCAGTATAGCTCCTTTGACACCACCTGCTCTCATTTGGAGGACTGTATATTTAAGTCCCCCAACAGCAACTGGGCTCAAACCCAGTGCTGACTCTACAGTCCAGTTCAGGATAAATGCTGTCCTGTTGTTAGGTGTTGACCTTTAGATGAGACATTTAAATCCCCCTGCCAACATTCCACACCTTCTGCTTAATTGGCACAGTATAAAAGATGTGGTTGGAAGAGCATTCAACAGTGGTCATAGTTGCTTGCATATTATCATAGTAATAGAAGCATGTGATTTATTTCTTTGAAAAAAGAGTTGAACAATATAATCCAACATAATAAATCATTCTTGCTATGAGGATCATGGTGGCATCAAAAAAGCAACTTGCACTCACATTAGGAATTTATTTTTTCTTTCCACAGAACTATTCTTGCCTCATAATGAAATCAAGAACACTTGTCTTAGTGTCTGGGATGCATATATGCCTTCATATATGACATTTGCCAGGGAACTCCAAAAAAGAGTAATTTATGTCCAAATTCTTTCAAAGCCACAATTCCCAAGTGTGGCAAGGCTGGTAAAACTTGGTTTTCAAACCAACCAAAGCAGACCTTAATAATTAACTCAAAAGTCATTTCAAATAATATGTAATTCAAAATATAAATTACCGATATTATATCCTTTGGAGTGGAGAGGAATTGGCTGGCAAAAATCGGAAATTAAAGGCTTTTAACACAATGAGTCCAATCATTCCTTTTTTGCTGTATTTCATGAATGCTTCTGCACTCTGGAAGACAAATGTGTGTTGTTTTGTCGAGCTCTGAAGTAGTTATAATGCGTTTATCATGTGCTCAAAACTAAACCACTGACTTCCGAATCTATTTTCTTCCAGCACCGAATACTTTTTCCTTCTCCTCCCTAGTTCACAATAAGTGTTGACTACATGAAATTCTGTACACAGAGAATAAACATGTGAGTATGAATCTAGATTCTTCCTTACCACTGATGACATGGACAGTTTCTATGATTATTGAGAAACAGTAGTTCTTTAAATTAAACCAATATTAATTACGCACTTTCATTTTTCCAGGCAATACTCTAAGCAAGAGATATCGATAGTAGGGCAAATAAGATGTGGTCTCTAACCCAAGGATTTTAGTCTCCATCTTTACTCCTCTGTTTCTAAAACTATTATTTATAGCAATATAAGCTTAGTAACACATTTAAATTGCAATTCTACTTTTTGCAGCCTGGAACAGGTTGGCTGGTGAGTACTGGTGATCAATGCATAACAAGGATGAAGTTAATAGGTTATTTAGGTTACAGCCGAATTTCTGTAAGGTTGGGGAACATTTAACTATGTTCTTTATTGTTGACCACACAGGACAAAAATGAAAAAATATACATCAAGACTTCCAAAATATGAGAAAGTATCATTTACACATCAAGTGAACATTAATTTTTTTAAGTTGGATATGTCTCCAAAAAAGATACAATATCTCAAGAAACTTATATAACCATAGAAGTTATCTTGACAAACACCACTGAACTGAACCCCTTCTATATAACTAATAGGTCAGCTAGTGGATTCATGTTTGAACATTGGTGGGGAGAAGGAATTGCCTTCAGGCATGGTCCATTCCTCTTACTGGTGTCATTTAGAGACACATTTCTAAAGATAGCCCTGTCTACCACCACCCCACCATTGCAATCAAAACAATCCCTAGCTCCTCCACATTCATCAATAATATCATTGAACTATGAATCCACATCTATCTAGATATACCAGTTTACCACTGTTCATCTTAAAAGACAGAACACAGAAATGGGCCCAAAACTCTAGGGGTACCTGTACAAAGAGGTTGACTAAGACTATCACCTCGCTTAGCTGAGACATTATAATATTATAGATTCTTTATATTTATACAATGGAATACTACATAGCAGTGAAAATGAACTAGTGGCATATATCAATATGAATGAATCACACAAATGGAACATTAGAAGAAAAAACCATTGTGGAATATGGGTACTATGAAATACATGGAGCTTCAACAATATTAGTAATAATGTATTTCTTAGGCTGGGTGGTAAATATACCTGAGTAGGTTATTAATCTTTTTTGTATCATACTTTTTTAATGAAATACAAAGGATTTTAGTTAATCTGTTGGCTAACTGCTAAATTAAAAAAAGCAAGCTGAGACTTTTTGTTAGGAATTTAACTAGTCTAGGGGCACCTGAGTGGCTCAGTCAGTTAAGCATCCTACTCTGGATTTTGGCTCAGGTCATGGTCTCAGGGTTGTGGGATGCAGCCCTGCATTGGGATCCGTGCTCAGTGCAGAGTCGGCTTGAGATTCTCTCTCTCTATCCCCCCCGCCCCTCCCCCTACTCACACTCTCTAAATAAATAAATAAATAAAATCTTTTAAAAAAAGAATTTAACTAGTCTAAAAAACTATAAAAAAACTATAGACTTCCCTTAGTCATGTAATTAGAGCTACTGAGTGACAACTTTGAAGGCCAGAGTAAAAGATCAATGATAAAGATGTGGATTGTTCATCTCTCCCCACTATCAGTTTTCATCTTCTATAGCCACTGGTGGGGGCAGGAAGTCCTTAAGAAACATATGCTATGCTTATTTACTTAGGGATATTGGGGGTGGGGGTGGTTGGCTGACTGAAAGATCAAGAGAATTCAGTGAAGAGAAGACACTGCTTAATTTGTGTTTACATTACAAAATTATTTATATTTCCTACAACTCATGAAAACAAAACTTGGGAATATTTCCTACCCCCAATAATTCATTTCTCTTCTTCACCATTTTGTTTCCTCTTCACAACATGGAGGAATTTTCATTTAGTACTACTGGTGGTACATCTGTATCATGTTTGTAAGTATAGCTAAGTTATCAATTAAAACTAATAATCTTTGCTAAGGATAATCACCACCTGAAGCAATAAGTTACAGGATTATTCACATCTAAATAAAGCTAAGCATAAAGGCAACTGTTGTCCTAACTCATTCAGTGACTAAATATCATTTACAGGTATTACTATGATCTAAGATGTATATGGAAAAGTCACTTAAAAAAAGGTAATTGACAATATCTAAAGTGCTTACTGATGATTTGATTTATTTGTTGCTATTGTTTTAATAACACAGGAGGAGGAAAAATCCTTTTTCGTCACTTAAAAAAAAAGAACAATTTCTGTAAGGTTGGGGAACATTTTTTCATCACTTAAAAAAAAAAGAACAATTTCCCCACAAAACAATTATGTGAGTATTAGGAATGCTACTGTGTAAGATTTTAAATTTATCAAGTATTTGCAATGGAAGATCACATTTCCCATTCCCCATCGATGCGTATTATATATTTTTAATCTTTGCCAGTTTCACAGATGAAAAATGGAATCTCACTATTCTTTTGCACTAAAAAGGCTTGAATGCCTTGTGTATGTTTATTAGCCATTTCAAATATCTCTTTTTGTGAATCGTCTTCATGTCTTCTGCAGCCCAGAGTCAGGGAATATGGAACATGCAAGCTTTACCAGCAGTCAAATCTCATCAGAATAGCTCTTCTGCCCAAGAGGTCAGGGAAGGTGGAACCTGACATTTGGCTGCCCAGCCTCCGAGAACTTGGTAATACAGAGCAACGCAGGATTAGACAACTACATTTTTCTCCAACTTTCCCAACCAGCTACTTTGTACCTGGCAAGAATTAGGAGTAGAGTAATGGGCACTACCACCACCCACTCAACATAGGCCTTCTGCAGCATGCCCCTCTGGAAAGGAGACCTGCCAATGTTTACCAGCTGCCAAGTCCACTGGGAATAGTTCTCCCACGCAAGAAAGCTAGAAGAGCTGAGACCTGCCACTCCACTATTTAGCCTGCTGGAACAGCTTTTCTGGAACACATGGCTGTGAGGCAATAGGTGCAGTCCCTAGCACAAATGCCATGCCCTCGTGTCACGCAAGATTCTCTAGCCTCTGTTGAATAAATGTGCCTCAATGTGTCATAAGCCCTTTGATTCATCTCCAGGGACTTTACATGATTGTCTTTGCTCATTTTGACCAGCTTAATGTCTCTCAGGGGGGTGAGGTTTTCTTTAGCTCCTCTATACACACCCTGTTTATAGTAAGTTTTGACAAAGAAAACTTCAAATAGTACAGAATCTAAACCACCAATCTTTAATTTCATGGTTTTAAAAAGATTTGTTCTGAGTTTAGAAAAGATTTCCACATTCTTGATTCAGATAAGAATTAATTTATAACTTAATTTATACTTAAATATATAAACCATGTAAAACCTAAATCTTATTTCATTTTATAAGGTATGATATTTTGTTTTCATTACTAATTAGCCAAAATTTCCAGCACCATTTTTCATGTAATCTCTGCTTACTATACTGTTTTTAACATACACTTAGGTCTAATTTTAGATTTTTATTTTGTTCCATAGATTATTTTTGACACACTGTAGCTTTATCGATCATTTTAATATTTGGTAGTACAAATATTAAACACAATATTATTCTTTCTAGATTAATGTTTCTTTGTTATAGCTGGTTGTAATCCATAATTTCAAAATCCTTTCATCAGATACAGCCAAAAATGCACTGCACTATTTGTATTACATAATTTATGATAAAGTTGGGTAACTCTGACATCTTAAAAATCTTGATTCTTCCTATTTGAGGATAAGATAGGTCTTTTCAATTGTTTAATTCTTCTTAAGTGTCTCATTAAATGTTTTGTGGAATTTTTTTTACATAGACCTTCCAGATTTTGTCTTAAGCTAAAATCTATGTTGTTATTCTGAGTGGCATTTTTCCCTTTATATTTTCTAAATGGTTATTGCTGATCTATAAGAACTATGTGAATTTATGTATATGTATTTTGTGAGAGGTCCCTTTATTGAACTCTGTTTCTATTACTAGTCCTCAGGGCTTTACAGTCAATTCTTTTAGATTTTTTTAGGTAATTAATACTGCCATTTAAAAATAATTATATTTCCGATACTTTTATAGTTTCTTTTTCTTGTATTATTTCCTTGGATGGAAATTCCAAGGCAAAACTAAACAGTAATAATGAACTTGCTTACCTGTATTATTAACAGGCCCATAATATTTGTCACGGGGATGTCAACTCTCCATCATCCCCAGCCCAACATTGAAACTAAAAATCTTAGAATGGAAACTATATCTTGCTAGGTATCCAGGGATCCTCTTGGGGTTCATCATCATCCTGGGATGTATCACAGAAACATTTTCCCTAGAGAACTGAATCAATTGGGGTACGAGATTTTAAAGCATAAAAATAGCACAAAATTACCCAAGCCATAACTGAATGACACGCGGGCAATATCTCAAGGTGTCAGATGAGGCTTCATGGCACATGCAACGTAAGATGGGGCCAGGTAAACCAGAGAGATTCAATTCCTTGGACTCTCTCCAAGTAACCTTCATGATAGTTTTTTCCTTCTAGTCCCCTGGCATCAGCTTTTCCAAGGCCATGGATTTATTATGAGGCCATTCAGTGTTGGGGCTTGGGAATGTGGACCTCTGGGTCCAAGGCCACTCCTTATTAGCTTTGCTCTCAGAGGTCTCACAATGAAAAATCTATTATCACCCTCTTTCCTGGGCTGTCTTGGTGTATTCCTTTCCTTGTAAGTTGCTTTAATCTTCTATACATTATCATTCAAAATGAAAACTACCCTTAATATTTTAATGATGAAGAGGGGAAATAAACACAAATTTAATTTCTATTAGTATCCTCTAGGTACTGTGTAAAACTATTTACAAATATCATATGATACAATAATGACAGCAACCCCACAAGTAAATTCCATTATTTATCTCCACTTTACAGATGTGGAAATTGAGACTTACAGATGTAAAATGTGCTCACAAATATTACTCTATACTTCCCTTAATTTTTGACATTTAGTTCAAATATGTGCTTCAGGTTTAGAACAGCTTTTATCATGCTAAATATATATCCTTCTATTCCTACTCTGTAAAAGTGTTCTTTATACATTGAAGTTGAATTTATCAAATGCATTTTAAGCATCATTTGAGATGATCACATAATTTTTTCACTTTCTTTGATCTCTTGATATGATGAATTGTTTTAATAAATTTTCTGCGTTTAAAATTTCTTTGCATATCTGTGATAAAGCCAACATGTTCACAGTGTATTAGTATTTAATAGAATGCAGTATTTGAGTTGCTATTTATTTAGAGTTTCTGAATCTTTTTTCTTAAGTGAGTTGGCTATTTTCACAATTCATAAAATGAACTGGGGATCAATCCGTCTTTTTCTAAACTTAATAAAACGTTCATAGCATATTATTATTTTAATACAGTCTATATTTGAGTTGCCATTATTTATTTAGGGTTTTTGAATCTTTATTCTTACATGAACTAGCTATATTTTGTAATTCACAAAATGAACTGGGATTCAATTCATCTTTTTTGAAGTTCAATAACATTTTAAATAATATAGGAATTATATTTTTATGTTGAAGGATTGGGGAAAAACACCCTCAAACTATTAGCCTGGTAACAATCTTCTCAATTCCATGAATATTCAGATTTTCTACGGCCTTTCGGATTATTTTTAGAAATTCATGTTTTCCTAGTAAATTGTATATTTTACTAAGTTTTTCAAATTAATAAGAATAAAAGTTGTTCATGACAGTCACTCCATATCTGATCTTAGAACCATCTTCTCCATCAATTGCCCCCTTGTTGACCATCTACTCAGTGCCTGACACGCTCAGAGCACTGGGTAATTACTGATGAACAAAACATATGTGGTTTCAGGCTCTGTAGGATCTCAGTCTAGTGGGGAAGAACAACAGTAATCATGTAAGCACACAAGTAATCACAAATTGTTATAAGTTCTATGAAGGTAACAACATACAGTTAAAGAAAATAATTGGGGTAGGATTATAGGGCTAAGGGGAGTTCAAAGTTAGATGGAGACGTATGGGAAGACCTTACTCTGGTGTGATATTTAAATCCAGACCTAGAAGATTAGGAAGAACTAGTTCTGTGAAGGAAAGAAAGAAAAAAAATCCCAAAATATTCCAAGGCAGGACAGACCCTCCTGTATTTGAAGTACTGAAAGAAGTACAAGGTGCCTAAAATACAGAAAGTGATGTGGAGAGGGCCCTGAGAGAACGTTGGAGAGCCAGGCAGATAATGAAGCATGCAGGTCTTTCAGTGGCTACTGGAGAATTCCTATAAGGGAGATGAGGTACTGGCAATCAATTCAAAAGGAAAAATTGTAACTGTGCACAGTTCTTTAGGTAAATGCAGAATAATTCAGTCATCCATATCTAAGAATGAGATTATTTGTGATAAGCGTTTTGTAAATCATAGTAAAGAGTTTAGATAATTTTTTTAATTGCTTAGACTTTGCATTTTAGCAGGTTTTGGTTGACACAAAGTTTGAGTGGAAAGATCCCAGAAAACCTCTTTCCCTCCCATCCTCATTCACTCCCCCAATTCACCACCTCACACCACCCCCATCCAGCTTTCCCTATTATTAACATCTTCCATTAGTGTGGTACATTTCTTGCAAATGATGAAGGTTTGAGCAATTATGAATAAATCATAATACATTGTTACTGATATCCATAATTTACATTAGGGTTCACTCTTGGTGTTGTACTTTCTACAGGTTTTGACAAATGTATAATGTCATGTATCCATCATTACAGCATCATACAAAATAATTTTACCACCCTAAAAATTGCCTGTGCTCCACCTATCCATTCATCCCTTCCTTCCTCCCACCGAGTCCTTGGCAACCACTGATCGTTTTACTGTCTCCATAGCTTTGCCTTTTCCAAATGTCATATAGCTGGAATCATTCAATATGTAGCCTTTTCAGACTGGATACTTTGATTTAGCAATATGCATTTAAGGTTTCTTCATGTGTTTCCATGGTTTGATAGCTCATTTCTTTTTATCACTGAAGTAAATTCCATTGTCTGAAGGTATGACAGTTTGTTTAATCCATTCACCTCTTGAAGGACATCCTGGTTGCTTCTAAGTTTTGGCAATGATGAATAAAGCTGCTATAAATATTTTTGTGCAGATTTTCATATGGATTAGATATTATTTTACCTGTGTTGGCAATCCATCAAAGAATTTTGAATATGTGTTTATTAAAAAGACAACTGTCACTGCTGTGTGGAGAAGAGTATAGAGAAGGCATGTGTGAACATGAAGCTAGAACATTGCCTGCTGCAATAATCCAGGCAAGAGGAACTCACAGCTTGGACCAGCGTGGGGCTGAGGAGATGACAGAAGAGAATGCACTGGGTTATATGATATGGAAGGGAAAGCAATCGGACTTGCTTAAGAAAAGGAAAAGGTAAAACAATAAGGACTGAGATTTCTGACCTGTGAAACTAAGAGATACCCTTGTCATTTATTGAGATAGAGAAGAGTTGAGGAACATGCTTGAGGGAAAAGGAGCATCAATAGTTCAATTTCCCATATATTAAAGGTGAAACACCTATCATACCTACAAAAAAACCCAAAAACAAATAAAGAGATGGATATACAAACTTCAAGGGTCAGACCTCAACTGGGAATGTAAGGTTGGAAATCACAGGTGAGTGAGTGCTATTCAAATCCAAGGGAGAAGAGGGCTAAGGACCAGGAGTGAAGAGTTCCAATATCTGGAGGTTACAGAAGAAAAGCAGCTTTCAAAGAAAAGAAGTCCAGGGAACTATAAGGAAATCCAGGGTAGTGGAGCATCATAAAAGCCAAATGAAGAATGTTTTGAGGGTGGAAAATGCAGTCATCAGTTGCAAACTGTGCCTTTTGAGTGTTTTTCCTTCATTTATATTTTTCATGCTTATATTTTTCCTTAAAGAATCAGTTCTTGAGCTCATTTTCACTGCTTTTTCTTTTATAATCATTAATTCTTAAATGTATTCTTTAGTAATTCCTCTGCTGTTTTGTTTTTATCTACTCCATGCA